AATAACGTATGCAACTCTCATGTAATGGTTATTAATACACTCGAATATACCATACAAAACTCGCCTTCGGCTCGTTTCGTATCCCGGTTAATGTTCGTGTCTTAATAACCATCATTACATGATCGTGCATAATAAGCTATTATTATGTGGGTTGAATGCGAAACATGTAATGAAAACAAATATAATCAACAGCTAAAACTTTACTTTTTTAGCTTTTCTTTACCAGCAAGCTCTTTCATAAAACTAACGACATCTAGGTTTCTTGCAAAATATCGAACAAGCACTCATGCGACTACGGTATTTGTTGCACTCATTCCTTTAGTAACTGACCGCGCGATTATTTTGCCAAATTTTTATCTGTGGTCATGTCAAATAATTGCCATACATGTCGTCCCGCTTTATGCATCTAAGTATTAGGTTGTTACATCAAAGCCTCGGTAGATAATAACATTATCCTGAGGTGGATTAAAGGGCACGACAGGAGTAAAGGTTATCGCATTGCCGACACTTAAGCCAATGAAGCGGCTGGACTAAGAATTTTAGGACCCAGTGGCACCTACGGCCTGATAACTTCGACAATTGCGAATCTTGCCAAACGTCACACCCATGCTCAATCCCTAAAAAGATGGGATGGAATCAACGGATGCAATTTTGCCAGGATCACCCTTGGCGACCCTGGGAAGCTGGCGCCGAAGAAATATTTGGCGATGACCAGGAAAAATCTGCGCTTAACAGTAGTATTTCTGACTGGCCACTGTCAACTAAGGAAACATATCCATAATATGGGGCTAGTGGACACACCTCTATATAGGATGTATGAACAGGAAGATGAAACCGTCAGGTATGTCATATGCGAGTATCCAGAGTTATCGTCAATGAGAGTGTGTGTGTTTGGTGAGTCTTGGCCTAGGACAGGTTACTAGGAGATGTCTCCTAGTGACACGACCTGAAAATTCTTGGGCTTTGGAAAAAAACGCTTTTTTTGTACAAAATTGGCTTTTCATCAACATAGTCTCCATCATGAGCCACACAATTGCAGCGCTGCTCCACCATTTCAATACCACTTCTGTAAAACGAACAACCAATAGTCGCTGAGAGCCAAATCTGGCGAATACGGTGGATGTGGGAAAAATTCGAAGTTCAATTCATCTAGTTTTGCCATTGTATTGATTGACTTGTGACACGGTGCGTTGTCTTGATGAAACAATTTTTTTTTTCTTTGTCATGTGCGGTCGTTTCTTTGCAATTTCGGCCTTCAAACGCTATATAATATTCACTGTTGATGGTATTTCCCTTCTCAGAGCTTTCTTATAGTCAAATGCTCATGCAATATAAAGCCAACAGGATCTTTTGATATCTCTACAATGTCAGCTAACTCCACTTTTCGATAATTCAAAAGATTTTGTGGATTTTTTTCTGATGTTACTGCCTCATTTGGACGTCCACTGCGTTCTGCATCATCGGTGTCTCTACGACTACGTTTGAAGTCAGCAAACCAACATTAAATTATTGTTTCTGATGGAGCAGAGTCCTTATAACACTTTTCAAGCTATTGAATTACAGAAATATTAACATCTTTTTACAAAATCAAATTTAGTTTTCTAGTTTTCTTTGCAGCAAACAAATTAATTACCTCCTCGGTGTCGATGTCAATTCTACGGTGGATTGACATTAACGCCAAACCGTTTAGTCGTTCCTGGCTTGTGGAGTTTATTGAGGCGTTTCAGAGAAGATAAAGTCCTCTCAGGGGTATATATGGAAACAGGTTGTGTCGCCAAGATCTTTGAAAGTTTGTACGTACATTGCCGTAAGGTTGGTCTTCGGCCTTTCCCGTTTCAGTAAATGTTCACATTTATTTTTTGTATCATTCTGGGAATAAATACCTTATAATTTAGAACGTCTGTTGATCAGAGGGTACAGACTTTTGATCCAACCCTCGATCTTTGTCCTCATGATTGTGATGTGCGGGTTCTAGGTGAGCCTACGGTCTATTAGAAGGCCGAGTAACTTTACCCGCGCTTGCCAGTTGATCTCCCTTCCAGAGATTCTCACTTTTCTGGCCGGAGAAGATTTCAATATTTCCATGGTTATTGCCTGAGTCTTGTTCGGGTTCATTCGGATCTTTCAATCCAGACATCCCTATGGAGGCCAAAGTTGTAGTTATCCAGGGCGTATTTGCAGGTACCAATACTGAAAATGTCAAATGAATGAAATTAAGCACTATACTTTCCGCTGCTTTCACTTTATGGTTTGCAATAGATGACTTTGAGTTCTAGTTCAAATATATGTTTGATGCCTTCAATCTACTCCTAAAAAAATCAAAGGAATGTGTCACACCTGAACAGAATCCTTATTTGCTACCATGACTCAACTTGGTAATGGCACATCACATTACTCTATGGTATACCTACTGGAAGATTCTCTCGATCTCTGGTTGACAGTTTTGGAATATTCTCCTACTATGACTGACGGATTGATGCTAATATTCAATAATATGCCTCCCCTGCCTTAAATCAGTGTTTGGTCCATCTTTTGTTGGCTCCTGAATTCTTTATGCATATCATGCAAGGATGTGCCGGTCTAATATCTGACCTTTAAATGTAATGTAATGTTAATGAGGCTCGTTGAAACTCTCATCAGAGCTTTGCGAGTTTTAGGAGCTGAAACAGTGTTTCTATACTTCCAAAAATATTTGAGAGAATATATTGCGCAGAAGAATAATTATGTTGCTGTATATGAATATATTGAAAGAAAATAAAAAAATGAATCCCATCATTGATTGCGAGGACAAAAATTAAACCTCGTATTCCCTGCCATAGTTATCACAAAAAAATCGATTAAGTGAGTTGATACTGCCATTATTTCCGAAAACACCGAAAATTGATACTAATATCTGATAAATCATCTCTTTAACCCTTTCACTGGAATTGTACCTACCCAAGTACATCAGTTTCTACAGCATCAAATCACAAAATAATAAAGACGAACGACGTTGCTGCTTTTGTACCGTGTAGGGTACACCCACAACGTTCAACTTATACAAGTAGCGTGCTCTAGGATCGTTGTTAGCAGTTATGAATTCAATCATGTGTTGTCATGTCATGGCGATGTAGCGAGTGTGTGTAACTAGTATCACGTGATTATTTATTCTCATATAGTCGAATTGTGATTATCTGATTCACTCTGTTTTTCTCGGTAAGTATAAATACTACATTTTGTAATAGAATTCTGTTAGTAACTGAAAGTTCCTTATACGCCCTAAAAAATATATTGCAAAAACCATGTACCTGCACAACGACAAATACTCTGGACAAAAATAGTTTTTGGTAGAAATTCGTCTAGATGATATCCAGAATGGATTAAATACTTTCTTTGTTTCAGAAAATGTCATTTCGATACCAAAAGGCTCTCACAGAAGAGGAATTACTGTTGTTTTTGGAAAATGACGATTTATCAGATATCGCCGTTTTATCTGACGATGATTTGGGATGGGATGGGTCGGAAAGTCAGCATGCTGACTTTATGGATGGAGGAGGACCTGTTGATGATCCGGAGAGTGGGAGTGAAGCTGATGGACAAAGTGATGGTGGCTTGGATGGAGTAGCGGGGCCATCAATGGTGGAACCAGCACCGTCTACAGTGGAGCAAAGCCTGTCAACGGCAAGACCAGGACCAGTGGCCTCAACGACAAAATCTGTGCCGCTCACGGCAGGACCCAATGTAAATGAAGCTGATTATGTTGAACATTTTTATAACCAGCACAATCTCACAAAAAAAGGAGATATTGTGTGGGTGGCTCATGCACAATATCAAACCAGATTTGTCAAATGGCATAATGGAAATAACTCAACTGAACTTGTAATTGACTTGTCTAGCCCAGTCGATTTTTTCATGCGGTACATCCCGAATAGTGTATTTGAAAAAATGGTGGATATGACGAATATGTATGCTATTCAGCAGAATATAGCAAGATTTCCCTCAAGAAATATTGAAGAGGTGAGAAAATTTTTTGAGATGCATATAATTATGAGAAATTTGCAGTTTCCCAGAGTTGAAATGTATTGAAGCAATGCATATGGAATTTCAATCATAATAGATAATATGGTTTTGAAACAGTTTTATAAACTTAGACGTACTCTGCATTTGGTTGATGTAACTAGTAGAGAAGCTACTGATACAGATAGGCTGTGGAAAGTGCGATATATATACAATGCCCTACGGAAAAGATACCAGGAACTGCCATTAGAACGCAATTTTTGCGTCGATGAACAAATTATTGCCTTTCAAAGGCCGGTTGAATATCAAACAATATATCAAAAACAAACCTAAGAAGTGGGGAGTGAAACTTTACGTGTTGACTGGAGAGAGTGGTATGATTTATGATTTCTTCAACCACAGAAATGAACCCACTTTATATGCACTTTGGCGCATCAGCTGCTACAGTTATGCAGCTTTCTGATCGAATTACCGAACCTAATCACACCTTATTTTTTGACAACTACTTCAGTTCTTATAACTTGTTTCAGTATTTTTGCAGCGCATAACTCAAACTCAATCCATCAAAATCAATTACAATGCTTTTAAGTCCCGAATCAAAGCGATAACTTCAACATAAACTTAGCTGGAATTGCGCTGGAAGTCGTTGAAGTCTCTAAAAACTTAGGATTATGGATCGATTCTAACCTTAGATTCACTAAACATATTAGTCACATTTGTCAAACCTCATATACCTAATGTACTATGTCAGCTATATAAAGGTACATGACAGAAGTGAAATGAAGTGAATGTTCTGTAGAATTACTCATGCCAGTTGAAAAATACTATTATTTTGTACATTAAATGATAAATTGGAAAGTCCTGAACGAAATAAAATAGTTTGAACATAAATTCAACTATAGGATGCGAAGAATGATTCATGTGGATGTTTTTTGAATTACATTCGTGCTGCTTCGCGAGCTGAAATTTTTTGGTTAGTAATATTTTTGAAAAATACCAGTAGATAAAAATAAATATTTATTGTTACAAAACTTTGTTGATATGTATATTTTCCAACATTAAAGCATTCCTACTATTACCTTCTTGATGTATATATCAAAACTGTGAAAATGCATTAGAATTCCACGCTGCTGCACTTTCAAATTATTTCGAAAAGGAATATTTCAAAGAACCCAGAAGTCATTTCATTTCAGTGTCATCGTTCGTTTTCTTTATTTTCCTTTTGTCGAATTCTTCAGCTTCTTCTATAGTATCTGGCAGCTTGCAATCCAGAGTTTCCGGTAATTTGCAACAAAGTACCGCCCCTATCAAGGGTATGATTCCGAAAATAATTGGTGGAATCCAGGGTTCGACAGTATCCAAAGTAGCTATGAATGGAGCTACCATAGATCCAATTCTAGCAAACATTGATGAAGTTCCCACTCCTAAATTCCTCACTACTGTCGGATAGAGTTCTCCGGAGTATATATAAACCGTAGGAAAGCTAAGGGCTAGGCCAAACATCCCTATGGAGGCCAAAGTTGTAGTTATCCAGGGCGTATTTGCAGGTACCAATACTGAAAATGTCAAATGAATGAAATTAAGCACTATACTTTTAGTGAAACTAGTGAATGTTTGATAAACAAAACATTTATATTTATAACTAGTTATTTTGGAATTGCGAGTCCAATGTTTTGATTTGAGAAGTTTCCATGTTCAGTGAGAAAAATCCTTGCCAACTCCACTACAAAGATTTGAAAAACCAAAAACATTTTCAAATCAACCTCTGAGTAATGAGCCTTTATTATGTGAGTTGAATGCGAAACATGTAATGAAAACAAATATAAGTATTAGGTTGTTACATCAAAGCCTCGGCAGATAATAACATTATCCTGAGGTGGATTAAAGGGCACCTACGGCCTGATGACTTCGACAATTGCGAAACTTACCAAACGTCACACCCATGCTCAATCCCTAAAGAGATGGGATGGAATCAACGGATGCAATTTTGCCAGGATCACCCTTGGCGACCCTGGGAAGCTGGTGCCGATGATCAGAGAAAATATACGCTTAACAGTAGGATTTCTGACTGGCCACTGTCAACTAAGGAAACATCTCCATAATATGGGGCTAGTGGACACACCTCTATATAGGATGTATGAACAAGAAGATGAAACTGTTGGGCATGTCATATGCGAGTATCCGGAGTTATCGTCAATGAGAATGTGTGTGTTCGGCGAGTCTTGGCCTAGGACAGGTTACTAGGAGATGTCTCCTAGTGACACGACCTGAAAATTCCCGGGCTTTGGAAAAAAACACTTTTTTTGTACAAAATTGTCTTTTCATCAACATAGTCTCCATCAAGAGCCACACAATTCCAGCGCCGCTCCACCATTTCAATACCACTCCTGTAAAACGAACAACCAATAGTCGCTGAGAGCCAAATCTGGCGAATACGGTGGATGTGGGAAAAATTCGAAGTTCAATTCATCTAGTTTTGCCATTGTATTGATTGACTTGTGACACGGTGCGTTGTCTTGATGAAACATTTTTTTTTTCTTTGTCATATGCGGTCGTTTCTTTGCAATTTCGGCCTTCAAACGCTATATAATATTCACTGTTGATGGTATTTCCCTTCTCAGAGCTTTCTCATAGTCAAATGCTCATGCAATATAAAGCCAACAGGATCTTTTGATATCTTTACGATGTCAGCTAACTCCACTTTTCGATAATTCAAAAGATTTTGTGGATTTTTTTCTGATGTTACTGCCTGATTCGGACGTCCACTGCGTTCTGCATCATCGGTGTCTCTACGACCACGTTTGAAGTCAGCAAACCAACATTAAATTATTGTTTCTGATGGAGCAGAGTCCTTATAACACTTTTCAAGCTATTGCTTCGCTTGAACGTTATTTTTTCCCATCGAGAAGTACTTAGTGTGAAATTGAAACACGAAATTGTTTTTGATCCATTGTTTCGAAAATAACAAAAGTGTTGTCACTCTAGCACAATAACTCACAAACTCATGATCAGAATATCATGAAATTCCAACAACTCTCTTTTGGAGATCAGTACTAACTGAAAAAGCGGTGAATGTAATGATGACTAGCGCCGAAACTCTTCAGCCCAGGTAGTAGTATTAATATGTTCGACATTGGTTTGCGAAATTTCGTTCCCGCGATTTTGGTTTCGAAGATGAGCCCCAAAGTGGTCGACCTACGGTAATCCTGGGCGAGGATTTGGGGACCCTGGTGGAGACTGACCCATCACAAACGGTTCATGAGATGACGGAGGAACTGGGCTTCAGCTTTCATGTGATTTTCAATGGCTTAAAACGTATTGGAAAGGTCAAAAATATCGAAAAGTGGATGCTCTACGATCTGAAAGATCTACAGAAATTGTCACATTTCTAGGTCTGTTCTTCCTTGGTTCTTTTCAAACAAAACGACCCTTTTTTGGATCGGATCGTTACGTGTGATGAAAAGTGGATCCTCTACGACTACAGGAGACGTTCAGGACAGTGGTTGGATACCGGTGAGCCACCTAGGCACTTTTCAAAGGCGAAAATCCACCACAAAAAAACATAGTTATTGGGTTAGCGGCTGGTGTGATTCACTGTGACTTTCTGAAACTAGGCCAAATCACCACAGAAGAGTCCCATTATGAGAAAATCGACGATATGTACCAAAAGTTGCATCAGCAGCAGTCGGTACTGGTCAAAAGAAGAGGTCCGATTCTGCTCCGAGACAACGCCCATCCGGACGTTTCATTAATCACCGTCCGAAAATTAAACGAATTGAGCGTCAAAGTTTTGCCTCACCAAACATACTCCCCAGACCTCTCGCCAACCGACTACCACTTTTCAAGCACTGTTTTAAGTTATTGTTTAAATACTACATATCTGAGTATTGTGGTTAACTTCAGACCTATCGATATTGTTCATGTTCTATTAAAACACTTTTCTTTCACCAGAATAAAAAGTTTGTCTCTCGACGCGCGTTTCGCTAACATAGTTAGCATCATCAGGAAATGAGAATTTTACTGGAGAACCAATTTTCGCAACTCCACCTGTTGTACAAATACTTTGCATACGTCTTGGCTTACTGTAAAATATACACAGCATCGCACGTAAACTGTCCTGATAGATGTATATATGTTACTTTTAATTGTAGGTACTTATTCAGCTTTACAGACCTGGCAGGGAACGAAAGTCGTACATATCAAGTGAAATAGTACCTAGTAAATACATTTCGAAAAATTGCAGTACACTTCTCGAAAATCTCGAAGAAAATCTATCAGAAAATTTAATTGTTTCTGAGAAAGATAATTATTATACCAATGGAAGATTAACATGCGTCATCAATTTGTGCATGCGAAACATATACGAAATTAATGGGTAAAGTAATAAAAATGAAAGGACGTGGCTGCAATAAATTTTCCCCTCAAAATTTAGATCTGAATCTGCCCTCGTGTTTCCTTCATACTACGTTTGAAACTTCATCCTTATTCAATCGTAGTATGTTTCGTGTGATTTCAAGCACTTAATCTTCATTTACTGCGGTTCAACCCCGTATATGTGCGGCAGTGAACAGTGCAAATACGCAACCTGATATCTGAACGTATGTTCTTTGAATGATAGAGTGTAGTGATAGCAAAGATGAGTAAAATCGAAAACAAGTTATAGTACAAATAGACACAAAAATCACTATATTTAAAGCGGCCTACACACATGGGAACCTGGTTTGCCACACTTGGTTCGCACGAACTACGTTCGTCATTTGTTCCACTGTGTGTGGTGTTTGATGAACCAAGATCGTTACAATTTCTCACGAACTTGCTCTTTCTTCGGGTTGAAAAAGATTTGTTCGGTTCACCGGCAGGACGCACCAAGTTCATCTGTGTGTGAAGGAGAGGAACCGTTGTTCGCCATTTTCCCCAGTGCTTGTGCTGATATGTTATATAAACACTTTAAGTCCTCCCAGCTTCTTCCAGTAGCTAGCTAGAGAAGTGTATAAACGAGGTGATTTTTGGCCTTTATCGACTTCCTCATGTGAGTTGTTTTGATATGTAGGGTGTCACAAGTTCGAATAAATAATTGAATTCAGTTTTGGTCATTGTTGAATAGTTGGTGTAATATTTCGCATTGTTCTTCCTAAGATGATATTAGAGACTGAGGTGGGACCACTTCTCTCTCACGAAGCCATTGCTTGGTCCATTGCGATCTTTTCTTCTTCTTTCTTTTAAAACCCCCAAATTCATATGATACAACAATAGCAGCTGCAATCTTCGAAGAACTCATCACGTCTGCTGGAATGAAACTGGTGAAATGGTGAACCGTTATTCACATTCCCTTCCACTGTGTGTAGGGAGTGACGAACCAAAAACTTGAATCACTGAACCAAGTTCAGCGAACCAGGTTCCCGTGTGTGTAGGCCTCTCAAGTGTAAATAATTTCTTTTACCTATTGCTAGAACAGATAATCCAGCAACGATATCGGCGAAAATGAGAGTCTTCTTTCTTCCCCAAGCTTTTGTAATCCAACATGCAACTAAAGTACCAGGAACTTGAATAACTGCAGATATCGCTACGTTGATGAAAATATTTCCCGCTATTTGTCCGATAAACTGAGATACACCGAAGAAACATAAACCGCAAACCAACCAGTTGAAACCCACAGCAATCGTATACATTCTCATTATTGGAGTTCGAACCAAGTCCAGAATGTTGGCTTTCCTTTGGCCGGTTTGTTTCTCCTTCCTACATTCAAGATAGGAATCGACATTTTCCTCGATTTTTTCTACGAAAACATACCAAAAATAAGTAGAATATTATCTGAATAATATATGAAATCCTTGTACCTGTTGGTAGTTTATTACATTCTGCAGCATTTTTTAATGTTTTTAAGGCAGATTCTTTGTTTCCCATTGCCAACTGCCATCTGGGAGATTCTGGTAGAATCCAGAAGTAAATGATAAGAGCCAAAGAAGGCGCTGATATAGCTGCCTGAAAACTTCTCCAGTCACGTTGGTAATAACTGATCAAAGGCATGAGAAGATGTCCCAAGTTGAAAGGAATTTGGTACAGTATACCTACAACTGTCCTCCACTGTGTACCTGAAAATATTAGAATTATGGATAATATTATACAAAAGTTGTGGAAAGAATAAAAATTTTCACCAAACTGATGAGTTTCTCATAAAATGAGTTTTTACTTGCCCACAATTTCCATAATGAGAACAAAACTAGTGATCATGGTCCCTCCAGTTGCGAGGGCTGCTAAAAAACGCATTACCAAGAATAGTGAAAACCATGGTGAGAATGCAGCTGACAGTCCACAAATTCCTTGGATAATTACTGCGCACACCAATGGGTTTCTTCTGCCAAATCTGAAAGAAAATAGCAAATCCAGAAAATATCTCCCAATTTGGATTAAAATTTTCATTCGCTACCAGAATATCTGAAATGTTGACTGAATAAGGTGCGAGTATATAACTAATATTTGAAATTCAAATAAAAAAGNCAGTAAAGATTTTCTCGAAACTAATATTTGAAATTCAAATAAAAAAGTGAAGAGACATCCCGGAAAAAAAACCTATTCTGCAAAGGATGGATTTATAGGCAGGGTAATTACTGCCCTCCTTAACTTCAAAAGTATGTTTTGCTCATTGTCATTAAGAATTTTGAACGTTTGACACATCTTAGCTCCTGAAACTTGTGTAACCTTGCTTTTTGAAAATTATAATCATTATTGAAATTACAAAGAACGTATCTATAATGTACCAAAAATTGCGTCAGCAGCACCTGACACTGGTCAACAGAAAGGATCCGATCTTGCTCCAGGACAACGCCCGTTCGCGCACATTTCACAATTCACCGTCTGAAAATCAAATGAATTGAGCCTCGAAGTTCTGCCTCACTCACCATACTTGCCATATCTCTCGCCAATCGACTAATATCTTTTTAAGTATTTCGATACTTTTCTCATCGGTAGAACCTTCGCCAGTCCGCAAAACCGCTTTGGTCGATTTCATAAAAATCTCGATCACGCAATTTTTATGCTGACGAAATCAATCGACTCATGTTATGTTGGCAAAAGTGAACTAATTTGAATGGTGCACTAATTCACTGAGATATCACAGTTTAAAGTAGACTCACGAACACGGGCAAAACTTTTGAAACAACCTAATACTAATAAAACCGTGTTTACACGCTACGTGTCACCTACTGTCAAAAAGTTTCATGGATACTTTCTGGGACCAATATTATTTCGACGTTCGTATAAGTGGCGCCATATAGGTACAGTGCATTCCATTCAAAACGAGCCACCCTAAATAAGTTTTGGTACAATCATATGCAGAAAAATTAAAAAAATACGTCAACCATAGTAAACAGGGGTACACATTTCAAGGCCGTAGCCAGAAAACAATTTCGGGGGGGGTAATAATTTAGAACGTCTGTTGATCAGAGGGTACAGACTTTTGATCCAACCCTCGATCTTTGCCTTCATGATTGTGATGTGCGGGTTCTAGGTGAGCCTACGGTCTATTAGAAGGCCGAGTAACTTTACCCGCGCTTGCCAGTCGATCTCCCTTCCAGAGATTCTCACTTTTCTGGCCGGAGAAGATTTCAATATTTCCATGGTTATCGCCTGAGTCTTGTCCGGGTTCACTCGGATCTTCCATTCGAGGTACCAGCGCTCGAGGTCGCCCAATGCACGTTGCATGTAGACGACACCGAGCGCTCGACCCATGGAAGATGAGAGGAGAGCCGTGTCATCTGCGTGCAGATATATCTTCACACGTTCAGACCTCGGGAGTTCACTGGTGTAAAGTGAGTACAGCGTACGGGAGAGCACGGCCCACTGCGGCACTCCAGCAAGGATCTCTCTGTCGTCCGACAGAGAGTTCTCTACTCTAACCTGAAATGTTCTGTCATTCAGGAAAGACCCAATCCACCAGATCAGGCCCCGAGGCAGGACGAACGCGATCAGTTCATGCAGAAAGCCTTCGTGCCATACACTGGACAGGTCACTAGGAGACATCTCCTTTATATCAGCAGGTGTAGGCCAAGACTCGCCGAACACACACTCTCTCATTGACGATAACTCCTGACACTCGCATAGGACATGCCTGACAGTTTCATCTTACTGTTCACACATCCTGCATAGAGGTGTGTCCACTAGCCCCATATTATGGAGGTGTTTTCTTAGTTGACAGTGGCCAGCAAGAAATTCTAGTGTGAAGCGTACCCTTTTCCTGGTCATCGCTAGATATTTCTTCAGCGCCAGCTTCCCAGGGTCGCCCAGGGTGATCCTGGTAAGATTGCATCCTTTGATTTCATCCCATCTCTTTAGGAATTGAGCGTGGGTATAACATTTGGCTAGTTCCGCAATTGTCGAAATCATCAGGCCGTAGGTGCCACTGGGTCCTGAAATTCTTAGTCCATCCGCTTCCTTGGCTAAAGAGTCGGCGATCATTTTTATTCCTGTCGTGCCCTTTAATCCACTCCAGGATAATGTTATTATCTACCGAGGCTTTGGCTAAATCTTAGTGGTACTCTAGTACTAGGCCTGAGATAACACGTCTGTTCTGACCAATAGGGCTTGTCTGCTATCAGTGCAGATTGTTATTTTTTTGTCAGAAATTCTTTTCTTGGTTATTTCTTTTGTGGCAATTGAGATACCAGCAGGTTCTGTTTGAACCACGCTGGTTTTTTTCCCATTCCCCATTCAATCCTTAGGCTTAGTGATCTGGATACACTCCAAATCCTGAGCCTTCTTTGGTTTTTGAGCCATCTGTATATATGCGTACTGCATTTGTATCATCTGACTCTGTGTTCTGTTTTATCTGTATTTTGTGGGGTTTATTAAACACAAACCTGAGTACAATTGCATCACTGGTTGCCTGCAGCAGAGGTTGCGCAGTAAGCGCTTCTCGTCATAGGCTCAGCCTCAATTGACCCATTCCTACTTCAAGGTTTACACCAGCCGTGTGCAATCGTAACATGGCCATTAACGCAACCTCTCTTACGTACAGGTCCAGAGGAGACAGACCAGTAATTAATTCCATTGCCGCGGTTGGTGTTATTCTCATGCTCCTGTGATGTTCAAACAAGTCAAACGTTGCATTTTAAATAATTTTTGGATGACCGTTGCTTGTAGAACCTATGCAAGATATAGCTACTTGAAAACGCCCAAACATATGCAAACACGTTTCAGATTATTAAAATGTAGGTTATCAAATAGCCAAATCTTGCACAGGTTCTTCTGAATGAAAAAATATTTGAACAAACTAAATCTTTCACCGTCTAATTCCACCCATAACTTCTCCTTCTCCTTATTAAATAAAACATCAGACAGCGAGGTCATTTCCCATTTAGTTAGATATCATTTTGAAAGAAAATTCACTTTCAGACACACCAGGGAATTTTCTTGCCACTGAATTGTTTCGCCGCTTGAAGTGTTTACACGACTCAATAAATCCAATTTTATAATGCCAATCTGCTCTCCAGAAGATTTATTGTTATCAAACCAGTTTCATAATGGTCGACGAGAAAGTTGTTTACACAGACTTAACGTCGGTTTTAGTAACATCGGTTTTTAGAAATCTTTCTTTAAAAGTATGTACTTACAGTGCATTTCTTTAGTGTTTCCCCCCTTTTATTTTTGAACGGGTTTACTCAAAAAATTTAAATTTGGGATAATGAAATGAATGCAATAATACTTTATTTTGAAGTGAAATTGACAGATGAAATTTTCAAGATGGCGCCTGGGCGCCATCTGAGAAAAAAAAATAAATGGAAAGGGGGGTCTTGTGACACATCTTTTTGAAGCTCCTAGCAAATGCTTCAGAACCTTAGAATATAATGTCAGTAACTATTACAAAATGGTGGAACTTTCAATAATTGTCTGAAAACATTGACCTTTAAGTACATAATATAAGGTAATAAGCTCAAGGTCAGTTCAGAAGATGCTCGAAATGGTTGCCTTGAACTTCTTGACATATGAACAGCCTATCCGATATTTCACGCCGAATATTTTCAAACACTAACGTCAATATCTCAACAAGTATTTATTATTCTCTGCTGTATATCCAATATTGAAGCAGGTTCTGTTTCGTAAACCTTTTGCTTCAAATAGCCCCATAAAAAAGTCCAAAGGTGTCAAATCTGGCAAGCGGGCTGGGCATTTTGTAGGACCTCGACGGCCGATCCAACGACCAGGAAAAGTAGTATCCAAATGATTTCTTACTTTTCTGGAGTAATGTACTGGTGCTCCATCTTGTTGCAATCCAATATCCAAATTGAATTCATTATGATTCGTTTCGACGATTTCAGTGATGAGAGAGTCAACAGTAGTTTTCGGCATATTCAAAAACAGTTCCCCTGTTGAATTTTGATCAATAAATAGAGGTCCTACAATATGGTTTCCCAATATTCCTGCCCAAACGTTGATTGATTTTTTCTGGATATTGGGTATGTGTTTCCCGGAAAACGTGAGGGTTGGTGTCACTCCAATAACGGTAATTTTGTCAGTAAACATTGCCGTTTAAAAAAATGTACATTTGTCACAAATATTATGGAGATAGGTAGGAAAGTTTCGAAGGTTTCCGTCATGATTTCACAGAATTCTGTTCTTCGATCAGGGTCATCTTCAGTTAATTGGTGTACCATTTTAATTTTGTATGGATGATACCTATTCCTTTTCAAAAGTCTCCACACATTAGAAGGAGACTATCTCAACAATTATTTGCACTCGCTGTTCTTCCAGAATGGACGGATGACCTAGGGGCTTTTTGTTATGTATACTACCGGTGGTTGTGAATTTGGATACAAGTTCCCTCAAAAATTTTCTACAGATAGGACGATTGGTAAAACGTTTATTGAAAATCCTTACGGTCTCGTGAAATAAAAATCGCTTAAATGTTTTCATCCAATGGACGACAATTGACCATTTTAGATATTGTTGACGTGGTACCCTTCTACTAGTAAAACCGAAAACTAAATGAGAATGTTTTAACTGAACAATGATGTTCATTGTCCTACTGACATTTTTTGTCGTTTTTATACCTATACTGAGATGCATGGTTTGACCAAAACTGGCAAGAATATTAGGTGGTACCGTTCCAACCCTTTATTAGGGGTAACATTAGCCATTAGCTCCAATTAATTCACATCAAAAAGTAATCTAATAGTAAAACGTAGATGGTGGTAAAGTTGTGTTTAGTAAATGCTGAATTTTCACTCTCATCGCAGAAAGTGTACAGATAGCCGTCTCTTTTTGCTACTTCAGCTGTAAAAAGTTCCAGTTTTCAGGCAAAACATTGTTTTGCAAATTTGATCGATACTTGATGAAAATCCATTGTAACGTATTAACAATACCACTTCAATGTGACATTTGCACTTGACAGTTCACGAAGCCACCTGTGACGCCTGTAGATGATATTGTGACAGTTTACAAAATAACGACACGTGTTTGCTAAACATTATCATCTGCTTATGTGCGAAGTCATTGAAGTGTTTTTTTAAACTTCAAGAAAAAGATATCAAACCAAATTATTTCACCAAGTTTCAATTATAATTATCCACAATCGTTTTTTGGTCATGACTGATAGTTATTACAATAGTCTTTTATAAATTTCGAACCTGTTAACACAATGGGATTCCGAGTTTGTATTAATTATTAACAAATTGTCTGTAAATTCCTGGCTACACAGGCGATGACACCCTTGTAAAGAACGACGACAGAAGCGGTTTCATTGACCAGAACATGAAATACCCGGAGTGCAAGATGAGTTTCAGACTTTTAGCAAAATCTACTAGAATCCATTTTGAAGCATTCCTACATATTTAGAAGAATATAACCAAATATTTATTAGACCACAGCAGAGATGACCTAAGTTATCTAAGAGGTCCACCTTACAAGTCAGTGTCTCCTAAATCGGCATATGAAGTAATCTGGATTCGGGAGATCCAGCGTCTTGATAGACCACGGCCCTAATACGGTTTTCAAGGTTTGGCAAAGTTTTACTCACAGAGTTTTTGACCTGAAAGATCATTCACCAAATAAATCAGCTTTGTTAAGGAAACGAACTCATTTGGTGGAGTTTGCATTGGGTATGAGCCACGATAAACCTTCGGAGGTTATAGTGTAGGGTCGAGTTAGATCCACTCATTTAATCTGTCTGATCTACACAAAAAGAAAATTTTCTAACGTATTCAATATAAGTTGTTTCATATGTCGAAATTAAACAAATAGAGTTTATTGGCCGAATAGATATTTTTGACTAATGTTACCTAATACTCTAAGGTTTGAATATGAATTAATTTTAGTCTTATATTTTTTACTTATAGGTTGAATTGTTCAAAAATATTTTTTTTCAGTTGAACAACTGTCCTCATACGAAGGACAACCTTCAAGTTGAAACTTGCGAGTTGAGGATCAACGAGATCTTTCCTTTAAACGTGCAATTTCCAGCACAAGTCAGATGTTAGGTAGTGAACATCGACCTCCCCGCAGTTGGAATCGAATCAACGTAGATATTAGCGGTAAATTCAATAACTAGAACGAAATACTTATGCTAACCAACCGTCAACCTCTTTTTTGCACCTTCATGTCTAAACGTACTTTAAGACAATATTAGTCCCTGGGGTGTCATCGGCCTCGACTGCATTAGTCATTAGCCTCATGTCCTGGGTAGGCGATATAGATAATTCCCCGAGCCTCCTAGAGAGCATCATGGCTATTCGCAGTCATTAAGCCACGTAACGTTGCAGAATTATCCCAGCTTCAACTAGATACATTCTCTTGAGAAAAATAACTGGTCAAGGTTGGGATCGAACTCACGACCTTCCAATCGTGAGTCGGGCGCGCTACCACTGCGCCAATTCACCAATTCATGATTTAATGCAATGTTTAACACTGAAATACCCACCTGTCTGATAGATATCCAAATATCATATTCCCAAATAAAATTCCAAGCATAGTCACAGTCTGTGCTAGTTTCACCAAATATTCTTTGTCGCATATGAGATTCCATTCTGTTGCTATGGTTTGTGTGAAAATAGACCTGAAATAAAAAAATGTTGAAAATCAACCTTTCAAAATGATGAAAATACTTTGTATATAAAAGTATTACCAATCGGTCTAAGTAGTAGTTAAAACCTTTTTTTTATGAAAAGTACTATCTTCTAATAACTCTCTTGTATCCTCATGATCAATTGTAAAAAATAAGTTGCTGCTCTAAGTAGAAATTGAAAACTGAATTCTCAGTTCATTTGAAAATTTCTAAACCCAAATTGTCAACTTTTAGCCAAAAAATATCAAAACTAGGATTTCCAACTCTTTTGGAGAATGATATATTTTCAAAACTGAGGACACCTGAACAACCGAGGGCTGCCCAACGGAGATAAAGATAATAATATGCAAGCAGTAACAAAAAACCAATCTTCATTTGTTTAATTCACGTTCACTTACACATCGACAAAAAACTTCATTAATTATATATTTTGGGAGATATTAGATCTTCATCTTTTTCATGTATTTATTTTCATTTATTTATCGCACGACTAAGGATATCAACAGAATAAATCCAATAAAATTCCTCATTTTACATATTATAAAAGATAGTGAGTAAACAGTATATATAAACGCTAAGTACATTACACTAGTAACGAATATGAGAAAAAAAAAGAAATAAACAATAAATGTACTAAGAACCGTAACTGATGAATATAAATGAAAATAGATTTCACATAGTTTTCTAAGGAAAGGTACAGTATATGCAAACCATGGAAATGAATGGAAAACCAAATTACTTATTTGTGACTCGTTGATACTATCTATTTTCAACCACTGTGACGTAGTGTATCATTATTTTCTGAATAAAAATGAGCAACAACGAATTCAAAGAGTTTAAAACTCTTGTTTTGAACTCGGTATTAAGAAAAGAGAAACGATTTCTCATAAATTCAAATAAGCCAGGTGACTGAAAGATAGAACACCTCCCTACCTCTATAACAAAACAACTTATCGAACTGATGTTCATAATGTGAACATCAGGCGCAAAATGATTCATGTTGTTAGACACTCTATTGAACTATTCAGAAGGTCATTTACATATACAATAGCTGAATTCTATAACAACCTACCACCTTCCTTTCGGTCGAAATCTGTTTCCAGTTTCAGGTACTGCCTGAAAGAACACCTTCTGAAAAAACATTAAAACCCGAATATCTTCTATGACACATTGGCTCTTGTCCTTTGTTATTTTTTTTTTTGTAAGGTGCAAGAGGAAGAATGAACTCTGTTCAATCTTGTATCCTATTAACAAATTTGTATTTTGTTTTTATCCATATTGTATGATGTTATTTCTGCTGTTAATAAATTCATTTATTATTATAAGTATTATTATAAAAACTAAATAGCATGGGCGGCGTGGTATAATTACGAGGTCTAATCATTATTCTTATGTGAGAGGTTTTATATGGTATTAAATAGTGAATTTATCAGACTCGGTATATTAGTCTTTTGTTCAGCTATTCGGATTAACTTCGTATAGACTATAACCTAAGTTTTTCAATATAATTGCAATAACTATTGAAAGATCTGACAATTCTGCATAAAGAATAGTTTTTACCTGAATTTTCTTTTTAAATGGGGTAGCAAATGACATTTTTGTTATCAACTTTGGACAATCGACGGGATTCTGTTTTTAAAAATCTGTTTTAAAATCTGTTTTTCCGTTAATCAGCTGCCGCCCCCATACAAACGACAACTCTCAGAAGTTGAGAAACTTGTGTGAGCTAAGGACTAACGAGGTCTTACCTTTTAACGTGTGATTCCTAACACGGTTGCAGAATCATTCCAGCTTCAACCAGATAAATTCTCTCGAGAAAAATATCTGGTCGAGGCGGGAATCGAACACACGACCTTCCGATCGTGAGTCGGACGCACTACCACCGCGGCCAATTCCACAATATTTTGTACAAAATTGATATATGTAACATTATTTTACTATATGTAAGAGATAACAGAAAATATTGCTGATAATGACTCCCTATAAACGATAATACATCAACGATTTTCCATATGTGATATTTAAAAATCTTTTTGGAATCCATTATTACTCCTAAATCGCGTATTTCATTTACTGTTACTCTGAAATTTCGTATTTGTTATTGAAAATCAATGGGATTTCTATTTCTGGTATAGGATACCGTTATTGTCAAAAATAAAAAGTTATATGTAGGGGTCGTTCGAGTCTTATTTTGCATCAATGGTGCAATTTGTAAAAAATCTGGGCTGAAAATTGCAGTTTTCCAATAAAAAAATCAATTTTGACAAATGATGTGAATCACGAAACTAAAATTTTTTTTAGTAATTTTTCATTTCGATTAAAGCAGAAATGGATGTCAAAGTCAAATCAATACTCTATACATACAACGTTTGTGCGCGCTAATTCTAGTTCAGGCTTTTCCTCTTTGGAACAGTCGAGTGGTTCAGCTTAACAGCACTGATGAGACCTTGGCGAGTCGGAACAACGCTGTTTGGTGTTGGATCGCAAGTTCTATATACTTTACACTAAAAGCTATAGCATCATTTCTGTCCCGTATCCATTCGGCAAATTCACTGAATTCTTCGTTGTAGATTCCTTTCCCCTTTTCAGAAGGGTTTTTCTAAACTTATGCGTTGTTAAGTTTTTCAAAACTCTTGTTAGTGGGTCAAAAATTACTCATTTAATAATCCTCTTGAGCATAATCTCTTTGAAATAAGCATAAGCAGAAGCAGTAGGTTCTGAAGCACTTTATGAATATTTTATTTTACACTTTTATGAACTATGAAGATCTTACGGATGCGCAGAAGGTCCACGTTTTATTACTATTAAAAAATAACGATTTCATAACTCGAAATTTCGAGATGAAAATCGAATTTTCGAGACTAAATACGAAATTTTGTGTTCAAAGTCCAGATTTCGAGATTAAAAGTTGAACTTCGAGATTAAATTCGTAATTCTGAGATTGAAATTTGTTTTTCTATGGTGATGGGTCTCATCGAGCTTTGTGCTCTTACCACATATAATGTATTATTCTAAGTTTCTTGAATTTTCAGATTGTTTTCCATTGATTATAACAACATGATTTTTTTCACGAAATCTAATCGTCTTTAGAGGTTTCTGGTTCTAATTTTTGGACCTGTTTTGCTTTAAAAATGTATTTGTTTCATAATAAGCAGTCAAAAACTGCAGGACTCTTTCAAATGTCACTGATATTCTGATATTTCAGAAATTTCTTCAATCAAGTTGTCCTTTTAATGCATTTTGACAGATTTGAAATGTCAATTGAACTATATAATTGAAGTATTCAGACTGCATTTTGTTTTACTGCGTGACAATATTCACATTTAATGAAGATGCCAACAACACAATGTTGAGTTGTAATCAAGGTCAATTCTGTCACGCGAATATCATTGGAGTGAGCGTCATTGGAATTAATATTGGATCAAAGTAGGTAATATACTACATTATGGAATCGTTAGTAATTTACTGAATTGATGTTAGTTTTTGTCATATCTATATCTGACATTATATGAAATAATTGAACATGTACAAAATAATAACAACACTTGCTTCCAAAATACAAATCATGAAATTATAAAACAGCAACAAAAATTAATTGTCACTCCGGGGCGACTTCATTGATTCTAGTGACACATTTGCTTTTTCATCTGCAGGAAAACCCGGAAAAACCTGCAGCACCACTTCATCTGAAGATCTTGATCTGCCAATGTCCTCTCTTTTATAAAACAAAATGAAGGGTGTATCCAGAGGCTCCAATAAATTCAATACATCGCCAGAACACTTAGTGACACGACTATCGTCAAACTTAAACCAGTCCATTTCGTCTTTGACCAAGGCGTAATAATGACCAGATTCAACGCCAGAACCACAGTGAACAATGACTGCATGAAGATTATAATAGTGGTCTGCTAGATTGAATTGTTCATCTATTTCGAACCTTCGTAAGAGTTTGGTGCTTCCGTCAAAGGTTGAGTCATGTTTGAAGATCATCAGTGTTATTATTAGCAAGCTATACTTGCTTTCTTATAACAGTCAGTTAGTTTGGCGTATATTTGGCAATACAGTCGATCATTACCTGTTAAAAGTTCCATTTTCAGATGATTTAACAGTAAGCTTTGCACGGACTGGTTATTAGTCATACTAGGAAACGGTAATTGAAGCTACCTCTTGAACAGTTACTAAGAAGTAAACAAGTGAGGATTTTTCCAGCAAAAGATTTACAAACACAAGACGAAATAGACTGTATGGAATCATTCAATCCATAGTGGTCAGGAGTATTGATTCTGCTATTGTTTTCATCACAAGGAGTATTCAAAAACAACCCCAAGTATTCGAAACAATCCTCTTGTTGTCCCAACGAGTATGTAGTGGACTTCAAAGACTCCAGGAAATCGGTTGGAGGAAAAGATGATACATTCTTACGAAACTGCAGCTGCATGAACATGTGTTTGAGTTTGGTGAATAAGTAGGAAACATTCTCGTTCTTGTTCATCATTAAAACCTCGTTCTTGAAATTCTTCGTCATGAACTGCTAAATGATATTCATATAGCAAGTGTGTCCTAGGTTATCTAATCTAATTTTCTTCTCAAGATTTTCAGGAAAACTCTCTACTGATTCGTGAGGAAGAATATGTTTCACAGAATCGAAGCTGCAATCGATCCTTTCAAGTGATGAAGGGTTTCGTAGAGGGATCGATTCGGCTCTTGCTTCATGAAGCTCTTCCACTGAAAGGGAACCAGAACTACGAGGACTGCAACTCATATTTGGAGGGCAAGAATGAGCTAAGTCCATTGACCGCACTTAAAAAGAAGAAGGTGAATCAATCACATGCGAATTACCTTTGATAGGAGACTAACGAATATCCATATATCTCGGATTATTTCGAAGAGATTTCAGTTTCGTACTGAAATAAAGGCAATGCATAATCTCATTAAAATTATGTGAAGGAGGAATAGTACCAAGGACCGAAGCAGCTTACCACGTTTAATAG